GTGTATGCATAACAGAACTGGTATAGCAGATAGTTATATGTTCCTGAGTTGTTGATCTGTCATCACTTGATGTTTATGTTTCTTACATTGTTGGATTGGCCCCCATAAACGATAACCACAGACAAGACATGTTCATCTTGCTGCTAAAATGTCGAAAAAAATAGAGTACGTTTGATAATATTTTAGATAAATGAAAAGAAAATGAATGTTTGATATCTCAAAGATACTTTCATTCATGATTATCAGCACTGTCTACTACCATTAATGTAACTTAAGACTTGATGGATATCTGTCCTTTTTAAGGGCTAAATATATGCTTCACCCAGGAAGTTTAGGATTTTTCTAAGTGTGCAGAAACGCTTTACAGAATTTATACAAGGAGACAACTGTCTCCCTTTATATATTCTGTGAGTCATTTTCTGTAAGTGTAGCGCTTCTCTGAAGTTTATGCTTACTCTCCCTCTTGGTTTCCTCCTCCTTCGGTCCACCCAACAAACCCCGTGCCCCCTTCCCCGTTGTCTCCAGTTTTTTCCATTTTATTGATTTAGCATATAATATGTTCTGTCATACTTACAGATAAGTGTGTTCAAGATTATACACTCCAATGTGTAATGTAAATTGATGGCTCAGTGCTTACATTAACTTTATCGCACTCCATTTTTTATCAGGATATTTTTGGTATATTGTTTGGAGAGAATCGAAATCTTTACTTCACTAACATGAAGTCCCCGAATTTCAACCTCGAGTCTGAAGATGAATCTGAAGTCAGTAGCCAAGTGGCTTCCAATGTCTCTACCCAAGAAATTCCTCCTGCTCATTCCAAGGAAACCAATGCCACTTTGTCCAGCCTTACAGATCCCGTCAGCCTACAGAACGACTCAATGCCCGTTACTCTTGACCTGACACTTGGTTTCAACAGCAGTGATGCTGAGTTGAACTGTACAAGCCAAACTAGTGGTGGTGAAGTAACGCCTCATCCTCCGGCTGTATCCAGAGTCTTCTCATGTAACTACTGTCGGCGAAAATTTTACAGCTCGCAGGCGCTGGGAGGACATCAGAATGCGCACAAGAGAGAGAGAACGCTTGCAAAACGGGCTATGCGGATGGGCATGCTATCCGATCGATATGCCAGTTTGGCATCTCTACCTCTTCATGGATCGGCATTTCGATCTCTAGGAATCGAATCACATGGTTCCATGCATCAACAAGTTGTACAACAAGAGAGGCCTTTACATGGAGTAAGAGGTGGAGCAAGGTTTAATCACGGTTATTACGGGTTGCCACTATATATGGAGGATGATGAAGTAGAAATGTATTGGCCTGGAAGCTTTCGACAAATTGAGGGACATAATGGCAATAATCTGGGGATTCATTCAGGACAAAATTCCAACATAAATATTGTAGCAATGGTTCCACCTCCTCCTAGGACAGATTCCTCCTTGCCTGATCTAAATTTAAAATTATAAATTTATAACAAGATTTCTTATTCTAGTTTCTGTGTCATTTTCTTTAAACTTGTGACTTCAATTATATGTCAAATTGTACAGGGAGATTGAGTATTAGAGATGAACGTCGGATCCTGATTTTCCCTCTACTTTTGACATTTTTTCCAAGTTTATATCCCCCAGTTCATGTATGACTTGATGATGCAATGGATATTAGATTTGCAGTTTGGAATAAAATTGATTCTGATTAGTTCCATTGGAATAACAAAAATAGATAATACAATGTTTTAACTTTCTGTCCTGGAAATAAAATTGAGCTCTCAAGTTTTCATACTCTGAACAGACAGAGGCTGATTAATTTCTGGGCTGCAAATTGCCTAATGGGGATTCCAATGGAAAAAATGATGAAATACTGCTGAAGATTCATTAGTTCACAAGTATAATTCTTCGTACCTTTGTAGTTGAATCACTCCGTCACAATCTGATGTAACTTTCATCTCCATAAAGTCAATTTCCAAGCCATATCTCAAGTCTTAAATCTGCCACTGTTACCCAGGAGTGTCATTGAATATTGATGATATCACTGTAACAATTTTTTTTTTTTTTCTCAAATCGACCTCTGTGAAAAAAATAAAGAAAATGAAGGGAAAAATGTTGAAAAGTCAAATCGACCTCAATTACATTAGCACTAATTCAAACATTTTTGTATGTTTTTAAAATTTTTCTCTATCATTTTCTTTTAGTGTTCTTATTGTTTCTCTTTCAATCTTTTACACAAAGTTCGAGATGCGGTGAACTGATACAAATTGATCTAAAAATCAAATGTAATTTCATTGTGGTGAAGCCGATATATCGATTAAAAATATAACTTTTTCCTCTTTATTTTCTTCAGTTTCTTATTTCACGGTGGTCGATTTGAAGAAAAAAGAAATTGTTTCTACTTAATAACCGAACTTAAAGTATCTCAATGATCACTAAACTTCGCCAAGTGTTATTGTTCGTGTGAAACCTGTAAGCGTACGGGATCGTTGACAAATAATAGATTTGAGTTAGTTGAGAGTATCGTTCCACGGGAAATAAATTCAATTCAAATTTACTAGTTTTGTATGGAATTCGAATTATGTAAACAAAAACGAGGAGTTTTTATTTGATTTATGCTAAATTAATCTAATAAAGCTATAAAAACATGCTTTTTTAAATCAAATTATGGATGATTTTATTGGATTTCGAATTCGTATATTGGTATCTATTTCAATTTTTGATTTGTAATCTAGTTCCGTTCATGCGTTCTTAATAATCGATAAAGTTATGATATGTAATTTTCTTTTCCAAGACAAATTAAATCTATTCTAACCACGGCCAGAATCTATTCCTAGCCCGAATTTAAGCTCCTGTTTGGCCTCAATTAATTTTCATTCCATTACATTTCATTTTTATTTCTCCTGTTTCAATCACACAATCTTTCATAAAATAATATTACACGTAAATCGAAAACTTTCATTCTTTTTCAACTACTCATTTTTCAAAAAAATACTATTACATCCATTAATTTTTCCACAAAATGGGGATCAAACAGGGGCTAAATTGTTAGAACACATTAAAATTTAGATTATCTATATGATTGCATATATAATAATTGTTATTCCAAACATCTATTGTATATATCTTAATTTTACCACGTTCTAAACTTATTATGAGTTTCTCAACACTACAACAAGCAATTGATTATCTAATTGATGGCGTATCAATTAAATAATGCAACGAGTATGCAAAATTAATCAAGAAACACAAAAATTAAACTAAACTACTAGTCTTGAATTAGAAATAAATAACAAATATGGTTCATCTTCATCCAATACAAAAGCGGATCTAGCCTAGCATATTAATAAATAAATTACAAGAAGAATAATAGAAAAATATTACCCCGATCATAAAAGAATACAAAAAATATTGATCTTCATGTCCAAACTTAAATTCTTCAAAATCTTGTTGTAATTGAATTTCAATTCTTTTCTAGGGCTTGATCTCCTCTCTCAAAATAGTAATTTGTCCTTTATTCTTTATGAATTTGATAAAACTATTGTGTATATTCACACAACACATTTTGTTAATTGCAATAAAAGTCTTTAAATTTTGCATTTGTGTCCTCAACTTCTCTATTTATATATTTTTTTTATCCTCAATCATTGTCTCAGTGATATCACAAAAATTCATGATGAGGGAGAAAAGAACTTATATGTCCATCGTATTTCAAAACAAGCAAGAAAAATACGAAAGTTCGACAAAATACTTCTCATGCTAACAATATATTTTGAACAGAAATTGTCATCTTAGATAAAATGTGTTAATTAATTAAAGATTAAAGGTAAGTATGCAATGAGAAAAGTTGAAGAAAACAGTGTCAATGGGCAAAAACTAAAAACCTTTATTGCAATTAAATATGGTATGTGAAACAATTTTTATTTGTTACACGACATTTTGATTCCACTTAAAGTCCCCAATCTTTGCTCACTATAATATTCATGTCCTTAACTTTTTTTTCGATGCATTCTTATTCGAATCTTTTTTTAATTAGTATATCTCGTATTCGATCGTGGTTCTCATAAAAAAGGTCCGTTCGAAGGACATGAAACAACTTATTTTCGATCATATTTAAAAAAAATAAAAATAAATGCAAAAGTGTGACAAAATTTATTTTCCTCGTCCCAAAACACAAAAAGTATTTCACTATAAACCGTTAATTTGATAATTAAGAGGAGGCTGAAGGTAAGAATTTGAAGACAATAATTAAAGACGCAATTGTTATAATAAATAAAAGTTAAGAAACTTAAATGCAATTAGAATATAATACAACTAATAAAAATTGTGATGTTTATATAATTATATTACTTAAAAATGTGTATAAAAAATATTTTTCGTGGCGGCTACCTTTGAGAAACTAGGTACACAACTCAACAAACTCACATAGATTTTTACTTCATTAAAATGTCACTTACCGGGTTCTCCATAACATGCAAATTGCAATGGTTTTAACTAAACTAATTTTTGAACCACAAATTAACGAAGGTGATTGACACCACTTCCTAGATACAAGCTAAATAAACCTTGTATTTAATCAAACTCTTTACTAAATTACTTTACTTAGATTAATTTGAAATATCGAAAATTTCTCAAGCAGATGTTCTTCTCAATATAAAAAGTGATAGATTTTAAACTATTAAGTACTAGTGCTTGCTTCCAAATATATATATATCCCTCTTACTCTAAAAAAGAGAATTCGTCGGTTACTATTCATTCACGACGTTTTTTTTTTCTTTTCTATCCTTTTATCCTCAAAGAAAACAACAAAATACTGACGCCATTGGTAGTCATTTCAACTAAATTTGTGTGGAAAATTTTTACCCTTTCATAGAGTTCCTGGCAAGAAAGGGGTCAATAACTGCAGCCGTATTTATTATATAGAAAATATCTTCATTGTGGTCAAATTTGCAAATATTGGTCAATAATGTATTTATTTTTATAAAGGGGATAAATCTTCTTTTACTAGAGATTTGTTTAAATCAGTCAACAATGTCATGCAAAAATGTACAA